CCCTCCGGAACCCCGGGAAGGCTGGAAAATCCCTCCCCCGCTCCGTCCCCCCCAGCCCGGCACCCCCGAGGATCCCCTTCCAGCGCTGAATGATTGATGGGAAAAGGATCCCGAGGATCCCGCGGGCCCGGGAGGGGCAGCGGAGCGGGAAGGGAGGGAGAGAACCCCGGGGGAAAAAGGGGAATTTGGGAAAATGGGGAATTGAAATCGGAGGAGAGGGAAAGAGGAGGAATTTTGGGAAAGATGGGGAATTGAAATCTGAGTGTGGGAAAAGAGGAACGTAAACCTGTGGAGAGGGAAAGATGGAATTTCGGGAAAGATGAGGAATTTTTGGAAAGACGAGAAATTGAAACCTGTGGGGTGGGAAAGAAGAATTTAAACCTGTAGGGTGGGAAAGATGAGGAATTATTGGAAAGACAAGAAATTGAAACCTGTGGGGTGGGAAAGACAAGGAATTTTGAGAAAGATCTGTGAGGAGGAATTTAAACCTGTGGGGAGGGAAAGAGAAGGAATTTTGGGAAAGACAAGGAATTTAGACCTGTGGGGAGGGAAAGAGGAGGAATTTAAACGTGTGGAGTAGGAAAGACGAGGAATTTTGGGAAGATGAGGAATTTAAAGCCGTGGGGTTGGAGGAGAAGAGAGGAATTAGTGGCAAAAAAACCTGAGTAATTTATACACTTAAAATTTCCCCCTCAAGGGGTAAAAATTTAAAGCTTTTAGGCATAAACATTTAAATGTTTTATAGAGTTAAAATTTCCATGAACTCGCCCACAAATGGTAAACAATTAAAGATTTTATGGGTAAAAAAATTTAAATGTTTTATACAGTTAAAATTTCCCCCAAAAGAGGTAAAGAATTAAAGCTTTCAGCGGTAAAAAATTAAATCTTTAAAGAGTTCAAGTTTCCACGGACCCGCCCGCCTAATGCGGCCTCCTCGCCGCCAGGGGGCAGCCGAGCGCGAGGACAACAAAGCCGCGCGGCGCGGCCAGAGCGTCTCCCCCTCCTTCTACCCCTCCAGCTGTGAGGCTCCACCAATCAAGGCGCGCGGGGGCGGGATCACAGCGAGAGAGACGGTAGGAGTGTCCAATCATAGCGCTAGAAAGGCGGGACTACGGAGTGACTGGCAGCAGGT